AAAAAAATCTACTTTTATTAGATTAGGAGCATAAATATATTTTTTTATGTTCATTAATGTCTTTCTTCATACCATAAATGGTTTTATTGTGAAAAATGGAGTCCGGCAGTACAAAAATCGGACTACAAAACACCCTGGAAGGCGGCTCGTGGTATTCACGCGCCACCTGACGCCGTGAGCCGCAGCCACGCGCCCACACGCGCCAGACGCCCTACAGACGCGCCTGCACGCGCCATCACTCGCGCGTCAGCGGCGCTGTCCACGCGCACGCCGTCCGCGCCTCGCACGCGCGCCGCGTGCTGGAGCCGAGCGCCGAGCCGCGTTTGAGCCGTGCGTCGAGCCGCTCCGAGCCGGTGCTGAGCCGCGCCGTTTTCCTCCGGCGGCTTGGCTGGCTTGGCTGCTGATGCCTAAGGCACTGTTTGTTCTGTTTTTTAATTCTGTATCACGTTAAATGGTCATTATTAATTCATTACATATTTGTTTTATGCGTGGTTTGTACTGTTAGACTCAGAATTAATTTTTCTATATTCTGTAAAATTTTGAAAATTTTCAAAAAATATAAAATATTTTTTCTGTGTTAATAATTCATGTTTTATGCTTTAAAATGCTTCTGATATTGCATAAATAATTTTCTGGGGCTGAATTTTTTATTGTAGACTACTGTTGTAGTTTACTATTTACTGGTATAGTTATAGCATTTTATCAGATTCTGGAATATTTATTTCTGATTTTATGTTTGTTTATTAGTTATTTAAAATTTCAGAAAATACCAGAAAATTCCAGTATGATATACTTTCTGTTATGGCATAATTTGAATATTAAATACAGCATATTTTTTTTTGGGTTTGTAATATGTTGTAATTAGTGGAGCATGGATTAGTTATTTATTTATTTATTTGAATTCCATTATTAAATGAATATAGCATGAGTTATTTGTAAATTTACATTAAGATGCTATTGTATGCAATTTATCATGCTTTATGCCATAGTCAGTGGGAGGTTATTCGGTTGAGAGAAATCTTTGTAGATTAACTCCCGAAAACCAATATTTTGCGCATAAATTAAATAAAATTTTAGATAATTGTCACCTGTGGCGCAAGAGATGATTACGAGCATAGCGGATTTTTGATCTTGCGACTTGTGTAATATTGTCACTATTTAATTTAGATTTTTGCGGCAAAATTATATTATGCTAATCAAATTAATCCCAATGCGAATTTCTCTCTAAATTGACTTAGCTTATGGAAGTTAATTGGTTGACCTAGACTTAGTAAAGATGTTCAAATGTGAACAATGTAATCCCATTCTTTAGATGAGCAAAAGTCTTGGAGACTTTAGGTCAAGTCTTAATTGAGCCAAAGTAAGGAAACATGACTCAAAGTCGCCGTGGTTTTGTTGCCTTGTTTGGCATAATAAAAACTAATGTGTGCGCTATGGTTAGCGGCACGCTACGTAGTTTTGGTTGGCGAGTTTTGGAGTTATGAAATTAGTAAGCCCTCAATAGATCTGTATATGATCTTGACTATTGAGCTGCGCGGATTGACTTTGTAATTTGATTTGTAAATAATGTTACATCATTGGATGAAGTAACATTCAAGAGTCACGTCATCCAAGAAATGCGAGCTTAAATAAATTAGTCATTAAGTGTAAGACGAGTAGCCAGTATGAGCAGTGTTTTGCTCTCTACCCAATTATTGGGAGTGGATTGAGCGAAATCTCATGCACTATAATAGTGTGCGTAGAAATATCACGTGAAGTGAAAAAAAATTAGCGCTTAGAAGCTGCAAAAATCTATTAACACTAAGTGAAAAGATTAGCGCTTAGTAGCTGCAAAAATCTATTAACACTAAGTGAAAAGATTAGCGCTTAGAAGCTGCAAAATCTATTAACAATGCCGACTTGTCTTAGTCTGAACACTTACTGTTTCCACACTTGAGTGTGAGACATGAGGAGCGGCTTCTGAGTATTAGCTAGGCTAACATTTTTGAATAACGTTTACCACTAGGCGCAAACGTTGCAACATAATAATGAAAAGGTCAAGGCCGACAAGGTTGTTATGACTCTAAGAATTTGACGCATGGCTCGTGAGAGCATTGTGTTGAATTAGACTCTTTAGCCTAATTCGCGCTTAAATTACTTCAGGAGCTATCATAGCTGATAGCTTATTCTCTCCTTCTTGTGGATAGGAGAATTAATTGCAAGTAACTATGAAGCGAGAAATAGATATGGCAGGAGGAGTATCATCATCTTTCAACTAGATGCATTAAAGTGTATGGACAATAAAATTGACTTGAAGGTGCAGGGGATTAGCACTTACTAGTTAAATTTGCAACTTAGGCGCACTTAATATCTCCATGACATCCTTTTATGATCTAGTGAATATGAATTAGTCGTGAGTCATTACCTAGTTGAACCTAAACCTTTAAAACTTGTCTTCGAGAACTATACATTAAGATGATTGGAATTAGTTTATGACATTGGTCATGAACCAGTGGCTTATTATACTTAATCACATTAATGAGATGTCCTACTAAATCAAAGGACGGAATTTGTATTCGGTTCCCAGTGGCTTATTATACATAATCACATTAATGAGATGATGACACGATGGTTTGAGTAGGCCTTATCGGGCCCACTCGCTTATGAAATCCTACTCTTATATGAATGTGTAACTTTGTTCGCAATGGGTGCGCACAAGTAAGTAGGAAAGCCATAGAAGGTCATTTGTTTTGGCGCAGTGACTAGATATGTGTGAGGGTATGATAGCTAAGCCTCAATCTCGACACATTTATAGATTACGATACGCATCTGAGTCAAGACTATTTGATCTCCCATAAGTCAAAGGTTTTGAGATGATTTTTGACATTGCACATATGAGGTTAAGATCAATTAGATAATAGCTTTCATGCTTTTAGTTTTGACCAAGGTGGCGAGTATCTATTTGAGTTATTTTTAGAAAACTCTGTGAAGAGAGATGGATGCTTAGAAAATTGATTATTCCTAGTACTCAACAACACAATGGTGTAGTAGAGATAAGGAATTAAATATTGTTAATGTTAGGTGGCTAATGGCGCAAAATGTTTCCCAATTGGAAATTGCACTAGTTAGTTGCCTATATCCCTAACTAAGAGCCCTCCATATCAGATTTTACACTCCAATTTTGAGTAATAGGTTAGTGGAGAGCCATCTATGGGCGATCTGTAACCGTTAAGCTGCTTATCTTTATGTTACTTCTCATAAGATTGTGAAGTTAAGACCTAGGGATCTATAGCGCATTATTGTATGCTGTCTTGTAAACACAAAAGGTCGTGTAGCGCATTATTGTATGCAGTCATGCAAACCTTCCGGGTCATGTGCATATAGGTAAGCAGCTTTGTGGTAGTGTAACTAAGTCACATAAAGTTTTCTTATTAAAGGTGACGTGAATAGAGTTTTCGAAACTCTATAAGATGGAGAATTCCAAGCATAGCGCTTTATGTAGCCTAGTTGA